CCAGAACGCGTTTAACAAAATGACAAATCGTTGAGCCAACTAAGTCCTCTTGGCTTTGAAAGAAGAGGGCGTTCAGCCCGTCGACTCCTGGCGACTCTAGAGACCCATCTCCTTCAGGGCTTCCACGATCTCAACATCAAAAACTTCTCTGTCGAGATGCGATTGTTTTGGGGGTCAAGTGCGAAAATATGATAGTGTAGGTTGGGAGGGGGAATGGCCAGATAGCCCGGAAGTAGTCCACCGCCATCGACCGTATAAGGGTCCTTTAATTGGGGCATTATTATACACCTACATGTTATGAACATTGATTTTATCACCATTGAAAACATTAAAGTGATGAATGTATATAAATAGGAAATGAATGTCATGGGGATTTTATGGAATTTGATATATGGAAGAAAGAAGAAAATTATTATATTTTATATCCAGTTCCTTTATTCAGTTCATTATCTCCTTCTTCATATTTATAACATGTTATCAGCATGAACGCTCTACCCACTCAAAAAAATAAGAATAGACTAATTATATATATTATTAGATATAATATTTTACTAATTTGCATAGTACCATTATTATTGACAAGGTTCTGTCATAGTCAATCATATGTGGTATGAATATACTAAAATATTACAGACTATTTTTTTAGGTTGAAAACAAGTCAACTAACCCACACATTAAAGTTCCAGTGAGGAGCCAGTGGTAGAGGTGGCCTCGTATATAAATAAATAATACAAAAAAATACAAAAACATATAGTAAGGTGTGGAATTTTTTTTGTCGAACATGTATCAGTGATCCATTGAACAGAGCACCATACGGGAAAGAAACCTAAACAATAATATAAATTAAGATATGATGTACATTGGTAAAATCCAGCGTTTGTCCATTTTACAGCCTAGGCTAACAAACATCGAAAGAATAAAGAAAAAAAAATCATACCTTGCATCAACTCTCCCGAACAAATATAATGTGCATCCCATTTCTGCAATACAATCTCGAACCCCTAGATAACAATTGTCTTGTCCTATCCATGCCAACAAACATGTCTAACATGTCTAAGTAAATAACACAAAACAAACAATAATAAAACTCGAAATGATTCAATTTGGGAAATTTCATTACGAGACCCAACTTTTTTGAAATTATATCAATTTAAGGCCTTATTTCTCAATAGAAGACTTATATTTTAGGTTATTCTCAATCTAAGGCTCACTATTTAATTAATG